AAAAAAAAAAAAAAAAAAACTTTTTGCCTAAATTAAAAATAATAGTTTTTTTAATACTAATAATAATAATAGTAAAATTCATAATCGAATATCGATATCTCGATATCGATGCGCATAGTAGAAATATTAAAAAAAAAAAAAATGTTTGGTTTCTCCTGAGCAATTTAACGCTTGTTAGGCATTCGTTGACCCTATTTTATGAATAATTTTTTTTTTTTTTTTTAGGCTGAAAAGAAACTGAATGAAGCAATATTTTAAATAGAAATCACCGCGAGCGTTTGTTATCGTGGATTATTATTATTATTATTATTAAAAGCGTACAGAAATTTTTTTTTTTTTATGCTTTCATTAGTAAAAGTCACTTTAAAAAAATTTATTTTCTTTTTTTTTTATATATATATTAAATGCTTTGTAAATTTGTGTGTTGAATAAGGAAAACGTGATTTTAAAAAAATTAAAAATTGGCAAAAAAAAATTTTTTTTAATCAATACATACAAACTGCATACAAACGACATATTTTTCTCTCTCTCTCTCTCTCTTTATATATATTTGTGTATCACACACACACACACACACACACACACACACACACACACACACACACACACACACACACAAGGCGCGAATATTGCTGGCGTGTAAATTATTTTGTCATCAAATAATTATTTTTTTCTAGGTCAAATTTTCTTTTTGTTATTTAATTATCTTTAGAAAGTTTATTTCAAAAAGAAAAGAAAAAAAAAGTTACCACGAATGTCATAAGTATAATGATAAATCTGTTTCGTTCTTTTTTAATGACTTTATATAATTTTATAATACTCATTATGAATTAATAAAAATTAATTTTTTCAAATATTTTTACGCATTTATATAAATATATATTACAATTGCTGCTGCTGCTGCTGCTACTAGTAGTACAAAACTACCACGTATCTTATTTATATGTCACTAATGCAGTGTAAAAGTGTTTTGAAATTAATTTAATATAATTTGATAAAAAATAAAATTTTTTTCTTCTTCTTCTTCTTCTTATTTTACTAAAATGAATATGAATAAATTTTTTTTTTTTTTTCTTAAAGGTCAAAAACTCAAGATGTGATTCTCATCAACTTTCAAAATATTTAAGCGACCTCGACCTTTTTTCCTTCTCTCTCTCTCTCTATCTCATAACCAACTTAAACACAAAAACTTGTGATGATGTTTGATTGTTGCGATTTTGACATTTTCAATTTACGTTTTATTCAGAAATTTTTTCATTTTTTTTTTTTTTTACGTAGGCAAAAATAGTAGGTATTCATCGTTAAAAAAAAAAAAAAAATTTCTTTCCTCCTTCCTCTTTAGGTTTTTTTTTTTTTTCTAGAAATTTAAATTCATGAAGTCTTGTTGTTGTTTTTATATAGACATAATTAATAAATTTCATGATGATAATATGAACGATTTATATATATTTACTATTTATTATTAATATTTTTGTAAATAGGGTTTTTCAAACGACGTTAAGTCTGAAATCTTTGTTTTTTTTTTTTTTTTTTTTTTTTAAATCACATTTGCGCATATCCCGATCGATCAATTATCGAAATTTTATTATTATTATTATTATTAATATTTGTGATTTTATTTTTAAAAAAAGAAAAAATGTTTTAATTTAAATTTTAATCAAATTTTAATTTTAAAAAAAAAATTATTTACTTATTACAGAGTTTTAAGGACAAAGATGCTGGAAAAGTGGTCGTTTATACGACAACGATGGGAATCGTTCGCGAAACTTATCACAAATGTTTAAAAGTTAAACAAATATTGAAAACTCTTATGATAAAATTCGAAGAACGAGATGTTTTCATGTCTGCCGAAGCTCAGGAAGAAATAAGATCAAGAATGAAATGCGATGCTATTTTGGTACCGCAGGTTTTTGTCGAGGGTCAGCACATTGGGGTAAAGAAAAAAAAAATTTTTTTGTTTGTTTGTTTGTTTTTTTGTTTGTATGCATAACATGCGGTGATTTATCAATCAAAATTACACGCGCTATTTTTTTTTTTTTTGTTCTGTCATTGAAAACCCTTTAACAATGGATGTTGTTTACTTTTAGTGTTTTTTTTGTCACATAATCAATATGTCCTTGTATTTTACATTTATTTGGTCGTCTTTGATCTATTTTGATTTTTATTGTTTGTGCTTCCATACTTTTTTTTCTTCCTTATCATTATTATGATTACCGTGTTTTTTTCAAAAATCATTTTTGTATCGTTACAAATCTCATAAGTCACAATGAAATTTAATAAAAAAAGATGACAACATTCGATGATGTTTTTTTCGGTGTAAATAATTAATGTTTTTGGATAAGATAAACTACCAAATTTATTTATTTATTTATTTATTTTTTTGAATTATCATTCATTTATGACGAAAAAAAAAAAAAAAATTTAATTCAATAATTAACACAATAAGATGATGTAAATAATAGAGAAAACTAAGTAAGCAATAGAAATTTACATTCGATTGTGTTAGCGTTTTTTTTTTTTTTTTTTATTAAAATAAATAAATAAATGAATGAATGAATGAAAAAAAAAAATATGTTTTCATGACAATCAATGAATATGGCTGACGAAAGAAAATTTATCATAGATATTTATTTATTTATTTTTTTAAAAAAATAATTTAGGAAAAGATTTAAGGAAAAGGCGTCATCGTAATCGGTAGTCCACGATAAATAAATAACTTTTAATCATTCAAATTATCGTTTCATTTAAGATCAACCGCATGTACCCATATGTTAAATAATAATAATAATAAACTTTTAATGAAGCAATACTTTCGCGATTATGCCAACTTTTTTTTTTTTTTACCAATAACTATTATCCCTGTGTTACGAACAGATGCATGTGTGTTTATAAAAAAAAATAACAATTTACCTTAATCGCGACACATCATTTCCTTCACAAAATAAAAAAAAAAAATTTTTAATTAAATAGTTTTTCATTTCGTTTCTCTTTGTAGGATGCTGAAACCATTGAAAGATTAAACGAAATCGGAGAATTGAGGACCATTTTGAAACCTTACAAGGTAAATAATATTTTTACTCTTCATAATTGTATCAATGAGTGTTTAACATATTGTGTCTGGTTTTTCGTTTGTATAAAAAGAAAAATATTTGCAAAATGATAAGGTTTAATTAATAAAAAATTTTTTCTGTATTTTAGTGCCTAGAATCTTGTTTAACATGCAAGGTTTGTGGCGGTTATCGTCTTCTTCCTTGTAGTTTTTGTAAAGGAAGTAAGAAATCCATGCATAGAAATCACTTCACAGCCGAATTCGTGTCTCTAAAATGCATGAATTGCGATCAGGTTGGACTAGTCAAATGTCACGCTTGTTAAAACCTGAATAATGCTCAAAATAAATAAGTATATATTTATATATTTTTGTACATTGTTTTGTATTTAAATTTAAAGAGAGTCTAACAAATATATTTATGTATTATTTGAAAGCACGCGTGTGCTCTCATAGGTTTACATATAAAAATTAATATATGTGTTACTGTTATTATTTTATCAAAATTAAGTTTAATAATTTTCAAATAAATTTTTTTTTTTTTTGTTTAGTTCGTTTATTATTTATTTTTTTAAAAAAACGATTATTTTGTTACCATATAAAATAATAATTTTTTTGTTGTTGAGTCTTCACACGACAATTCCTCATTCGTTGATAATAAAACCAAAAATAATATAGAATTTTACAATTGGAAACTGATGATTGATGCCGATTTTTCTCATCGCCATTCGATATAAACCTCTCTTAATATAGAATAATCAAAGTCCGAATATGATTTCGATAACAGGAGGGCTCGCGTTTACATACGATTGAGAAAAAATCGAAGAATTTATTTAAAAAAATTTTTTTTTTTTTTTTGTATTTCAGGTTTGATTAAAGTAAAAAAAAAAGAAGTGAATTAATTACTTAAAAAGAGAAAAAAAAAACAATGAAGGAAAAATAAAATTGCGTAAATCTTTTGATTCATAATCAAAGGAAAAAAAAAAAATGTACGAATTCTCACGTGTCGAAATCAATAATGAAAAAAATAATATATATAATTCACACATTTATTTTAATTATTATCGTGTTTTAGGTAAAAAAAAAAAAATTAGAATAACAATTAATTTAAAATAATTCTTTTATTATTGTTATTACTGAAACAAATGACAACAAAATAATTATTATTATTTGAGAATTTTTTTAAATTTAGGAAATACATAGAATGATGATGGATTTGCATCATCCGTTTTTTTTTTACGTATGTTTAATATTGATGATTACAAATCGATACTAATAATATATATATATATATATATTTTTTATATATGAAAAAATAAAATTTTATTTAAAAAACATTAAAAACGTTTTCGTTGAAAATTAATTAATTAACACATTTTAACGAATAATATATATATATTTATTACATGAAAACAATTAGAATTAAAAAACAATGGATTTTTAAATTAAAACATTTAATAATAATAATAATACATAAATATAAATGTAAGAGTCTGTGTGTGTGTGTGTGTGTGTACGTAAAAAGATATGATCGATCAATGATAAAATATTACATTTGGATTAATTAATTTTTTTTTATTTAATTGATTTGGCAGAATTTAATTACAAAAAAAGTAAGTAAGTAAGTAGTAAGGCCCTTGAAATATTTTATATATAAATAAAAAAATAAAATTTTTTTAAAATTAACTTTATTCATGATTTTTATCTGATAATTATACACGCGTTTTTTGAGTAAAATATCAGAGATAATAATTATTTTTGAGCTAGTTTTATTATATATATAGTTTATACAAAATCCGTTGAGAAATAAAGTAAAAAAAAGATTTTTTTTTTTTTTTGTATCGAAATATTCATTTAAATAATTCGTTATAAATCATTCGAAAATCAGTCTTTCGATCTTGACAATTTCGGAAAAAAAAAAATTGTATATATTATAAATTTTTTTTTCAGTGAAAAAAAAAACAAGTGGAAATTACACAACGATGTTTATAAACGAAATAAATAACGGTATTTTATTGATTTTTTTTTTTTTTTTATTGTCGATTACTAATAGACGATATTTTTTTTTTTCGACAACGCAATATTATATAATATATATATTATAAATAGACAAAAATTCGTTTTTTAAGTACATACATATACATATATAGCGAAATTTATTTTGAGCGAATAAATAAATATAAATAACAACAGTTTTCTCTCTCTCTACAATAGATTACTAATAATCATTTTTACTTTTAAAAAAAAAAATATATATATATATATATATAAATCGTAGAAAAAGTTTTTTAAATGTTGAGCAAGTTTTCTTCGATTTTTCTTTTCTTTTTTTTTTTTTTCTTTTCGGGTAAAGAAAAGAGAAACAATGAGTTAAAAGTCGTCATTTTAAATTATTTATAAATGTATTTATCCGATATTTATGCAGCTCAAACTTATCGGATGATGATTTCTTGAAACGTAGGATGCCTGTCCGGGTAAACTTTCTAGTAACGGATACCATTGAGCAACGGGCTTCCTCGGATTGTCCAACATTTCGAGCCAATGATCTCGACCTATACCTATAAAGTTATTTCCGATTCCGATACATCCAAGAAGTTCGTTGACTCCGATACTGGAATTATTATTTTTATTATTATTTTTAAAAAAAAGTTTCAAAATAATAATTTTTTTTTTTTTTTTATTGAATACTACTAACATGTCGTGATCTACGACGTTAACTATGAGGGAAACATCTTCGACATTTTCTGCCGGAACGTCAAACATCAAAGCTTCATTATATATAGGAAAAAGAGTCGATTTTTTAACCGTTGTTTTTTTCTTTTTTATTCTTTTACCCTCGCACATAAGGTAAACTTTGACGTAGGGATCTGAAAAAAAAAAAATTTTTTTTACGTAGGATATAAAAAAAAAAAAAAGAAATTTTTAACTCACCTGATTTACCATTAATTATGTCTTTTGCTTTTAAATTTCGAGCTTTTATAACGGTGAGAGTTAATCGTCCAGCTCTCGGAAGATAGCATAAGCTTAACATTAATTCTCCTAAACGTTTTTTCTCCTTAAATTATAAATTAATTTAAAAAATAATTTTAATAACGCACAGAGAGAAGAGTAAAAATATGCAAATAAATAAATACCATAGGAGAACTCAAAATATTCATTGTATATTCAATTTCCTGATGTAAATCTGATGCATCTAAAAGACCTTTGAGAACGACTTGACCGATCAAATCATGCCTGCTAAATCTATCAAAATCATAAACGGAAAATTGCAAATATCTTTTTTGAAGATCATCGTAGCTGACGCTGAAACAATAAATAATAAAATTTTCATGTATTAAAACAAACAAACAACAACAAAAAAATCATTTTGTACATTAAAAACTACCTCATCCCTAATGAAAGCGGAAAAAAAACAACTGAAATCCAGGAATTCGGATATTAAAATTCTTGGTATGTGAAAAGGAAAAACGGAAATGATTTCATTTGTCGTGAGGGCAATTCACCGACCGGAAACGTTATGTAAAAGCATACTCTCGTAGAGTATGCGGAAAAGGTTTTTACAATAATTAATTGTTTAAATAAAAAAATTTTCTTTTAAAATGACACAAATGACATTAAAAACAAAACCCGGTTGAATCGATTAAAAAATTTAGAATGGTTTCTGAACTCTGACACAAGTGTGTGAGAGAGAGAGAGAGAGACTCTTGTACATTTTCTTTTATGAAAGTGAAAACAGTAATTTTAAATAATATAATTAGTGCAAGATTGTAAATGTTGAAAATGAGAAAAAAATAATATAAATAAAAGAGATAAGGTGTTAAAATTAATAAATTGAAACGGATGATGCCAAGCATTAAAGAACCATACTCTAAAAAAAAGAAAAATTAATTTCAGGGATTAATCATCAATTTGAAAAAAATTGAAATTAAAATTTTAACCGAAAACAATACCGTTTGATTTTTTTCTACAATAATTATAAAACAAGGATCAGGGCCGAACAATTAAATTGTTTAATTGAATGAATAAAAACAAATAAATATCAAACAATAAAATATGTGTATCGTTTGCGTGAAAATCCTATCACATAAGAGTGAGTTGATCTGTTTAAATTTCCTGTTCTCGTGTTTTTTTAAAAATTTAACTCTTAAAAAAAAATTCAAATAAATAAACATATATGGTTGTAAAATTTTTTAAATATAATTTTTATAAATCGATTCGGGATCGATAAAAAAACGACGGGTAAACGAAATAAAAAAAAAATTTACTATTATTACTACTACTACTACTACTTACTTTCGTTGTATCGTTTGCAAATAATGTAATAATGATATTATTATAATTAAAGGAACGTATAAAATATTTAATTTAAAATCATCTAACCTGAATATGAACGTTTCGTTGAAAACTGGATTCAAATTTTTTCTGTGAACTTTTGTTTGAAATTTTTTTTTCCTATCCGGAAGAAGATAAACTTTTACATAAGGATCACTGCTTCCTGTTACATCTTTTATGGGTAAATCCCTGGCTTCTAAAACTTTCACCACTAGACCTTCTATTTCGGAGTCGTATCTGAGTGCAAGATGTAATTTTCCACAATATTCTAAATCTGCAGTTGCATTCGAGTCCACAGAATTTGTTCTCTCTTTTTCTGACACGTAAAGCTCCGGCTAAATGAAATAAAAAAAAAAAAGGCTAATAAGTAATATTAATAATAATAATATTAATAAATTTCACGGTCAAACCTTTATGAGACCCAAATTGGAATCGGTTCTTTCTTCGAATTTACATATGCTGAATTGTATGCAGGGAACGTCGAAACGTTGGCTTAACTGCCTTTGAAAAGTCTGGAGTCTCACGGGCACCGTGGGAAGCGTGGTCTGCCTTAAAACTCTTTTACATTCTTTTTCTTGCACGAGTTGATGCTGTGTCGGAAGGCTTTGAAGATCGGGAAGGGAATGAGAGATTCGTATCGATGTTTGCCTCGTTGAAAAGACTCCAGAACTCGCCGATCGCGTTTCTCTTTTTATTATAGCCGCTCTTATCCAGCCCCAAGCAGCCGAACATTGGTAACTCACGGCTGCCAATATGACGAGAGCCATCAAAGCAATGAAACACCCTTCGATAGTGTTTTGAAAATAACTCTCTGTTCTCTTATCTTAAACGAAATTCAATGAGAGTGATTATATGTTAAAAAAATTTTTTAACAATGAATTCACAATAGAAAAAAAAAAATAACAACAAAAACAATTCATAAATGATTAAAATATATTTAATTTTGATTAAAATTTCAATTTATTTGGTTTTTTTATTTAGTTTCTTTGAGTAAAAAAAAAAAAAAAAATTCATTTCTTAAATCTTTTTTTAGGTAAAATAAAATTAATTATAATGATTAAAAAAAAAAAACAGGCAGTCGTCGTTCATTAGTTATGTTAATTTTTTTTTTTGTGAATGTCTCTTAAATGTAATTTATATAAACAAAAAAATAAATAAATAAATAAGTATTTCAATAGTTAATATGCACATATTTACTCCGAGACACGTTGAGCGGCCATTAAATAATAATATTGTACATGTCACACATGATTGTTAACCTGTTACGTCGGATAAAAAAAAAAAAAAAAAAAAAAAAAAAAAAAAACCTTTTTCCCCTTTAAAAACGTTAGTTTAATTAGAAAAGTCGTTAAATTTTTTTTTTTTTATTATTTTTATCTTATTAAATTATTCATACTTTTGATGAAAAAAAAAATTACTATATGAACAATTTATTTTATTTTTTTAATTTATTTTAATTAATAAATTGACTTTAAATTTAAATTTATAATCATCAGTTGTTATTTTAAAAGGGGGAAAAAAAAAAAAAAAAAACAAACTGCTATTCAATAATGATAGTAAAAAAATATATTTAATATTTAATTTTATTTATAACATCACCATTCATATTTTTATTTAATTTATACTCTTAAAATTTTCACGGATAATAATTTTTATTTTTAAAAAAAAAATCAATCAAATCAAGCCAAATGAAAAAAGTAATTTTTTTTTTTTTCTTTAAATTCTAAAAATTAAAAAAAATATTTTCTCTCAATAAAAAAAAAGAAGAAAAATACAGTAATTTAATTGTTTTCGTTTTAAAAGAAAAAAAAGAAACCACGCACACACGCATAAATAAATAAATAAAATTAATTAATGTTTTACCTGATTGCAAAATGTTGATCGAATAATTAAATTCCTCGTGTACGGCCGACGTCACCGCGTTACGCACAACTCCCATGTTGAGGGCTTTCTCCAGTCGTACTAACCTCTCGCATGACTCCTGGAACAGGACAGGTCCAGAAAAGCACACGAGATAGAAGCTGGGTTGTTGCGCTCTTTGTTGTACCTCCCCTGACCTTTTTTCGGATACGTTCGGCTTTTATTTTTCTGTAGGCCTCATTTCAATCAATTTTTTCCTTTTTTTTCTCCCCCCCTCCCCTTTTTTATTAGTTTTAAATTATTTACACGTGCCCAAACACTCGCATATTTACACCCCCCCCCCATAATTATATAAAATTAAATATTGATGAAAAAAATTATTATTATTATTATTATTACTTATCATGACAACTTTGTATTATTTAAATTTTTCCTTTTTGATATTGAACTGTTTCTACTGAATTTTGTTGTATTAGTCACTGAAATTTAACAGAAAAAAAAAAGAAATTTTATAAATTTTATATATATATATATATATATAATTTTAAGTAAGAAATAAATAAATAAAAAAAAAGACTTGAAATTCAGGGCTGTTTTGCTATCACTTGTTGAATAGTTACACCTGTTAAAATTATTTATATCTTAAAAAGTTTTCATTTAAATTTTTTTAAAAAAAAAAGTTTATTCTAACTTTTTATTTATATTTCTTTTCTTTTTTTTTTTTTTACTATTGTTAAATATTACTATTGTTTTGTGTTTTTTTTTTTTTTAAACTTGAAAATTTAAATTTATCATCATTATTTTACATTGTATATACATATATATATATATATATATATATATATATATATATATATATATATATATATATATATATACATATATATCTGAGGTACAATTTTAATAATGACGAAAAACTTATTGTCATAAAAAATTATTATTGAAATTAAATAAGAAAAAAATTCACGAGTTTGAAATATTTTTCCATAGATCTGATAAAAAAAGATTCAACACCTTTTTCTGATTATATCTGGCGAAAAGATGTTGCCGTGGAAACCATGTTCTCTCTGACGTCATCAGCATCGGCAGGAAAAATCTAGGTCCCGATTGTGATACGGCATCCTGAAAATAAAAATTTTTTTTTTTTAAATGGATATTTTCTTACGCAAGCTTCACACGTACATACGCACGAGCACGCACGTACGCATGCACGTACACACACACACACTCGTATATATATATAAATATATATATTTAATTGTTAAAGAATATGCAATTTATATTAATGTAATTTTAATTTTATCGCACATGTGTGTATACGCATATATATTTTTAATAAATGATTCATAAATTGACTCGGTTCGAAATAATTTTTTTTTGTTAAATGCAAAATAAATTACGAAAAAAAAAGAGTATGTATATTTATTTACTTATCCGTTAGTTTTGTATAAATGAAAATAGTTCAGCTCAACTTTTAAAATTTTTAATATGTAAAAAAACGTTAGGAAACATTAATCTTGAAATAAAATGATTAAAATCAAGTGATTAACAGTTGAAAGTTTGTATAATTCATTTTAAATTGATAAACGAGGGAAAAACGTATTTAGCGTAATGGCCGCACTGTTTTAATACAGTGTTACCAACTCAAAATTGTTAAGTTTTTACAGTTGGTTGTCAGTAGTATTATTATTTAGAGTGATTTAAACGAGAGAGGTGGGGTTTTAAATGCTGGTAACGTTTAATATAAAATTAAAATTTGTGTTAATTAAATGGTAACATAGTAGATCGGTTTCTTTCGCATTTTGCTTTGAGCATGGCTAGGCAAGTACATCCATCGCAGCAAAAACTCGCTGAAAAATTATCCATCCTCCACGACCGCGGACTGGGAATGCTCACTCGCATTTATAACATAAAGAAAGCTTGTGGAGATGCAAAGTCGAAACCGACATTTCTATCTGATAAAACTCTTGAATCATCTATAAAATATATAGTGCGGAGATTTCCGAACATCGACGTGAAAGGATTGACTGTGATTTCGTCTATACAAAATGATATAATAAAATCACTGTCTCTTTATTACTACACTTTCGTCGATTTACTAGATTTTAAAGATCACGTTTGCGAATTGCTGACCGCAATGGATGCTTGCCAAGTGCACCTAAATATAAACCTAAATTTTGAATTGACAAAAGCTTATTTAGATTTGGTGACAATGTATGTGACTCTCATGATTTTATTATCCAGGGTCGAAGATAGAAAAGCTGTTTTAGGTTTGTTCAATGCTGCTCACGAAATGATTCATCACCAAAAAGACCAGAGTTTTCCCAGGTTGGGAGAAATGATAATAGACTATGATCCGCCTTTGAAAAAACTATCAGAAGAATTTGTTCCTCATTCTAAATTATTGTTCACAGCATTGATGTCTTTGAAAAATGTTTATTTGAGTAGGAATTTGTCTGCAGATAAATGGAGATCAGATCAAAAATTAAGTATCGTTGCAAATCCCAATCAATTATTAAAACCATCTCAAACTGATACAATGTCTTGCGAATATTTGTCTATGGAAAGTATTGAAAAATGGATTGTTTTCGGATTCATGCTCGTTCATCAATCTTTGTCTCAGGATGGACCAAGTAAATTATGGACAGGGGCTCTTGAATCGAATTGGGTAATAACTTTATTCAGAGATGAAGTTTTATATATACATTCTTATATTCAAAGCTTTTTCGATGGTATTAAAGGCTATGGGAAAAGGATATCGGAGGTGAAGGATTGTTACAATCAAGCAGTTCAGAAGGCAGGCTACAATCACAGAGAGAGACGTAAATTTTTAAGGACTACCCTAAAAGAACTGGGATTGATTTTAACTGATCAACCTGGGCTCCTTGGGCCTAAAGCATTATTGATTTTTATAGGCTTGTGCTTTGCCAGAGATGAAGTGTACTGGCTCCTGAGACACAATGACAATCCACCCCTTCAGAAAGGTAAAGGTAAAACAACAGAGGATCTCGTCGATCGTCAGTTGCCGGAATTGCTCTTTCACATGGAAGAATTAAGAGTGCTCGTGAGAAAGTACAGCCAGGTGATGCAGAGATATTATGTTCAGTATTTGGCAGGATTCGACGCCATCACGTTAAACCAAAAAATTCAAAATTTAAAATTTTGCCCCGAGGAAGAGTACGTGATTATTTCTTCCTTGTGTAACGCCATTGCCAATCTTTCCGTGAAACAAGTTGAAGACAATGAAATTTTCAATTTCGAAGGTTTGAGATTGGATTGGTTTAGATTGCAAGCATACACGTCGGTTGCAAAATCTCAATTGGTGCTCTCTGAAAATCCAGATTTGGCATCTTTGCTAGACCAAACGTTGTTTCACATCAAAATGGTCGATTACCTCGATGAAATGCTGGTCGAGACCTCCGATCTATCGATATTTTGTTTCTACAGTAAAATATTTGAAGATCAATTTCACATGTGTTTAGAATTTCCGGCTCAAAATCGTTATATAATCGCGTTTCCCCTCATCTGTGGACATTTTCAAAGTTGCACGCATGATTTGTGCCCTGAGGAAAGGCACCACATCAGGGAAAGGAGCCTTTCCGTCGTGAACATGTTTTTAGACGAAATGGCCAAAGAAGCGAAAAACATAATAACGACGATTTGCGATGAACAATGCACCATGAGTGATAAACTTTTGCCCAAACATTGCGCTTTGTTAATATCACAAGTTGTGAATAGGAAAAAAAAAGATAAGAGCAAGAAAAACGCTCCCGAAATCGTGAGGCCGGGAACTGAAAGTTTCAGAAAAACCAGAGAGGATTTGACCACGATGGATAAGCTTCACATGGCTCTGACCGAACTTTGCTTTGCCATCAATTACTGCGCGAGCATAAACGTTTGGGAATATACTTTTGCTCCTAGGGAATACCTTCATCAGCACCTTGAAACCAGGTTTTCGAGGTCTCTCGTCGGAATGGTTATGTTTAACGTCGACACAAGCGAAATAGCAAAACCCTCGGAACTCCTCGTCAGCGTTCAAGCTTACATGAACGTTCTGCAAACGGTCGAAAACTACGTTCACATTGATATAACGAGAGTGTTTAACTCGGCTTTGCTTCAGCAAACTCATCAAAACGACAGTCACGGTGAAAAAACAATTGCAGCCTTGTACACTCAGTGGTATTCGGAGGTTCTCCTCAGAAGAGTAAGCGCCGGAAGCATTTGCTTTTCTCGTAATCAAAGAGCGTTTGTTTGTTTAACACCAGAAGGCGCGATACCGTTCAATGCAGAAGAATTTTCCGATATAAATGAACTTCGTGCATTGGCAGAATTGATCGGGCCATACGGAATGAAACTTCTCAATGAGACTCTCATGTGGCACATAGCTAGTCAAGTTCAAGAATTGAAAAAACTTGTCGCCGAAAATAAGGATGTTTTAATGAAACTACGAACAAACTTTGATAAACCTGAAGTGATGAAAGAGCAATTTAGACATTTGAAACACGTGGATAACGTTCTTCAAAGGATGACCATTGTCGGAGTGATACTTAGTTTTCGACAGTTGGCCCAAGAAGCATTGGTCGATGTTTTGGAAGAGAGAATTCCATTTTTACTTAGTTCCGTGCTGGACTTTCGTCATCATTCTCCCAGCGGGGATCCGTTGGTAGTTAACGAAATGGCTTCCGCTGCTGGCCTTCCCTGCAAAGTAATTATTCAAGTCTTTACGATTTCAAAATTTTTCAAAGGAGGCGAGGTCGATGGTATTTCGGGCATCGGGCTATTGTAATGCTTTGTTAATGCATTTTTTTTTCTTGTTCTTGTTTTTCAGGTTGACCCAACATTAGCTGCCGCTCTTCGAAATCACAAAAGCGAAACGGACGAAGATGAACACCTTTTGGCTTGTCTTCTCATGGTTTTCGTAGCGGTTTCCATTCCGAAATTGGCCAGAAACGAAAATTCCATTTATAGAGCGGAGCTGGAAGGTCACGCGAACAATATACACTGCATAGCGACCGCCGTGAATAATATGTTCGGTGCTCTTTTTGCGATTACCTCTCAGCAAGACATCGAAGATCGAATGAAAGAGTTTTTGGCTTTGGCATCGTCTAGTTTACTACGATTGGGCCAAGAGGCCGACAGGGAGGCAACAAAAAATCGTGAGTCCGTATATCTTTTGTTGGATCAAATAGTTCAGGAATCACCATTCCTTACAATGGACCTTTTAGAATCATGTTTTCCTTATGCTTTAATTAGAAACGCTTATCATGCTGTTTATAAACAGGAACACTCGCAGTGTTAAAACACTGATGTTGAAAAATCAAGTCTGAGTTAGAGTAAAAATATTAATAAGACTGCATTTATTGCGTTTTTCCCCTCCCCCTCTCCCAGTTTTTTTCAGTTTTCTTTTTTAAAGTAAAAATATTGATTTTAATTTTAATGTTACAATTTTTTTTAATTTTTCAATAATTTAATGAAAACTCGAAAACTTAAAAAAATAAAATATGAATAATACTTTTATAGTAACTTTTTAATATTGTATAAAGTTTCATTTATTTTGTAAAAAAAAAATGTCATCATAACGGAAGATATTAATTAAAACGTCCGATTAGTGTTTTGCCATTCGGAGTTCAATTATTATTATTAGACGATTTTTTTATTATGACAAAGTATTTTTATACATTTAACATTTTGGCAATTGGTATCGAAAGGTTTAAATTATAATAAATAATTTATAGTGCATTTAATTAAAAAAAAAAAAAAAAATAAATGTAAATGAAATGTATGTATATGTGGATAAGGACGTTGATTTATTTTTTTTCTTCATTTAAAGAAAAAAGGATTTATCTTATGATTTTATTCGTCGATTTTTAAAAAATTTTCAAAAAATGAAATATTTATTTTATTTATTATTATTATTATTATAAGTATAATCAAATTTAATCACTTGATTTTATTTTTGAAATGCAAGAACTTTTTATTAACACATTTTATCTATCCTAAGCTTAGAAAGAAAAATTTTTAATTATTAAAAATTATAAATATTTAATTATTTAGTAAAATGATAGTTTTTAATATTTATTAAAAATAATAATAATAATAGAAATAATAAATTTTTTATGTTAAGTCAAATTCAAAAGTTTTTTTTTTTTTTTGCTTTTTGAAAAATACGTATTTTATAAATAAATTTGTCAATTTTCTTTATTTTCTTTCGTCGTGGAGTCCTTTAAAAGTTCACGATATACGTAAACCGGACTGATAATTCGGGAGGAGGGGAGGGGGAAGGAAAAAACAAAAAAATTACTCGATTACTGATAATAAAAATTTATTTATTTTTTTTTAATTTTCAAATTTTACCCTGTCGCAAATAATATTGCTGTGACGTCATATTACATTATTGAATTATAAAAATTAATTTTTTAGGTTTTTTTTTCATATAAAAAAAAAGAAAACAATATATAAAAATAATTTTTTTTATTTTTTAAAAAAATATAATATTTAAATACAATTTTTTATTTCGTACTAAACTAAAAGTTTTAAACTAACTATATATTACATTTTCTTTTTTTTTTCATAGAATTCAATGAAATTCAAGTAAATATAAAATTTGAAATTAATAATTTAAATATTTTACGTGAAAATAATTTTTAAATACATAATATAATTATAAAAAAAAAAAAAATACGTTTTTCGAGTTTAAAAAAAAAAAATTTTTTAATAAAATAAAAATAAATAATTTTTTAAAAAATAATATTCTAATGACGTAAAAATAATATCGTTAACAAAATTGATTTTGATACCGAAATTTTAATAGAATCAAACAATAATTTTGCTCAATTTTTTTTTTTGTATTTTGAATTGAAAAAAAAAGGAAAAAAATGTGTTTCTGAATGTTTAAAAAAGTGAAAAAGTAATATTTATTTGAATTTTTGTAAAATTAACTAATATATGTAATGGAATGGTGTATATAAGGTAAATATTATTAAACTTTGATTCACGTTTTATAACGTTATATAAAATTCGCTTAAATAAAATAATTATTTAACAAATATATATATATAATAAAAATAAAAAAAAACGATTTTCAAATATTCGCATAGGAGAGGAGGAGAGGATGATGGTATAGTGGTGTGATAGCCAGTGAATTCCCGTGTGAAAAACATTTCAATCAACAGTTGCTCCGGTGAGAAACAAATAAACGTGAATCGTTACGACCGACAAGATGGATCAAGAAACAAAAAAATTCAAATTTCCAACATGAAGAATATATGGGTAAGTGATAATAATTCAATTCCGGTAATCGTAAGAAAAAAAAACCGACAACGATGCATGGTTGGTAAGGTTTAAAATTAAATAACAATATTGATTATAATTCTCTCTTATATCGATTAGAATACTTGACACCTTTGTAAATTAGAAGAATTAACAGAAGAATCCGATGGATTTCTTCTATTTGAATCGTAAAAAATTTCACTGTCTTTTAATGATTTATCTAAAGCTGCGGCAAAAGCTTCGTCTTCTGACTGAAAAATTCAAATAATCATATTAAAAATGATGCTCATAGAAACAAATAAAATTTTTTTTTTTTTTTTTTTTAGAATAACAAAACTATCGAAAGTAATTAATCTTACCCGTGAGCCATTGATCTTTTTAATAAAAGACGAATTATTTTCTGATATTTTTTTCCGGGTTGAATTATCAGAACTGCAAAATATTTAATGAATAAAATAATACTATTAATTAATTATTAAATAAAAAAGTTTTGGTTGCTTTAAATATTTTTTTCTTTAAATTAAAAATAAATAAAAAATATTACTTTTGTTCAATTAATGAAAAAAATTTCATATTTTTCTTATTTATAAAATTAAATAATTTTCTGAACAAACAAAATTAAAAATTAAAATTGCAGTTATTAATTGTCATGAATAAATATAAAAAATTTTTAACCTTAATTTTATTTGTATGATAGGTATACTTACATTGAGCTAGACTTTTGAGTACGACATGAATGAAGATCTGGAAATCTATGAATGAGGCAATAATTTTTGTTACACTGCTTACATATAACTGGAATCATTTCCTTAACTTTGCACCCTGTTGCACTACATCTGTTTCCATTTAACTACAAATAAGGTATGTTTTTGTATTTATTAAAAAAATAAAAAAAATTTTAACCTAATTTTAATAATTAAATCAATTTCTATTCATTCTTTATTTAATCAATGAAATAATTAAAAATGTTTAAATTTTACTAAATGTTTTAATGAATTCTTATGCTTAACTTTACATTCTTTAAAAAATTAAAAAAAATTATGCAATAATTATGTATGCTTTAAACTCTATTTTGTGGATAAAATTATAATAAATAGGACAGCAAAATTGTTTTCAATTGTTCAGATATCCATTTAAATTTTTTACATTAGTCAAACATAATATTAATAAAGAAATAATATATATATATATATATATTGGCTGCTTTGATTACTTTTGAATTCAAAGAGTTGCAGATATTATTCATCAGTTTTAAGTAAAAATATTAATAATAACTCACTTTTTTGCAGGTTTTCTTAGAATTTTCTCCACAATTGTTATCAATATGCTCTGACACTGCCACATCGGGCTCCTGATTTCTACGAATGGGTACAGGCAATTCACAAAGGGGACACAAAGGTACGTAAACATTTTTTTTGTAGACACTTGAACATTTGTGTTTCTCATAATTCATGTGGTGAGAGCTGAAAGTAACAAGAAACAATAATTATAATCGCCACCATCATATATTAATTTCTTTTACACTTTCAATATTAATTTTAATTACGAATTTACCAAAAAATTTTACTACAGGCATCGCATTTAAAAGGCAAAAAGTCTAATCTGTTACAACTTGTTTCATTACAGTGCTCTCCTATTTCAGGCAATTCCATTGTGAAATTTTTAAAAAAATTTGTCTAAAAAAAACTTTGATGAAAGTAGATAATATGATGTATTAAAATAATTTTTTTTTTTTTTTTACACTTTAAACATGCACGGAATATAAATGAACACTAAATAAATTTAAAAAGGCCAAATGATTACTTATAAAAACCTACGCGAAACACTAATGATAACGCAACATTATGCAAAACTAAATTACAAGCAATTATTGTTCTACGTACAGCAGAAATGCCATCTTAACGTATTTGTCGCCATTCTCAAGATCCGTTTAAATTTGTCGATTTGATTGTGTGTGTGTGTGTATATGTGTGCGTGCGTGCGTGCGTGCGTCTATAATGTAAGATAGATAACTTTTTTTTTTGTCATTTATTTAGAATTTTGTTACAACAACACTTTGACCCATAATTACATTAAAAGATATTTTTAATGAACAGAATAACAAATGTTCGAACTTATGCAGCCAAGGTAGCACGTTTGTTCGGGTACGCAGTGTACTGGAATTGCGTTGCCCATTGCGTCCTGGAATACATAGGGGATTTTGTAATAGTAAATATTTTCTTAGTATTTTATTTTTTTAATTTTTTTTTTTTTTTATTACGTTGTCATATCATTCAATTCTGAAAAATTTAACATTCGTATTCAGATAAAATTATGTTTCTCATGTTTGCTTTTTTTTTTTTGACTATATTAGTTTATTATTGTATTATTTGGTTGAAATTTTTTTTTAACAATTCTGCAGTCCAGAATTAAATTTTTTTTTTTTTTTTTTTTTTGTTATAAGTGCGTAGGTCCATCTATGGAGCCAACAATTTATTCAGAAAATGTAGTATTTACGGAACATTTAAGTGCACATCGCCAAAAAATTAAAAGGGGTGACATTGTCATTACAAAAAGCCCATGTAATCCAAAGCATTACATTTGTAAGAGAGTGATTGGTATTCCCGGAGACAAAGTTTGCCACAAGTTTTTTTCATCATATGTAAATTATTTTTTTTTGTTTGAGACATATTTTTTTGCAAATTAAAATTGAGTCACATATCATTCATAAAATATGTCATGATTTTCTACTCTAAGAATTATGCAGTTGAAATACCAATCAATATTGAGTTTTATTTTAATTTGCTTTTTAGGTTCCTAAAGGACATGTGTGGTTAGAAGGTGATAATAAATATAATTCATCAGATTCTAGAAATTATGGGCCTGTGCCACAGGGACTCATTAAAGGAAGGGTAGTATGTAGAATTTGGCCGCTAGACAACATTAAAATGTTAACAAGGCCAACAAAAACTAGTTATTGAAGATTAATTTTTTGATTTACACAGAAAAACCCTGTCAATGATGGGTTGTTAGGAAAATGTTAAAAACAAAAAGTCATTTTAATGATTGTCTTATAATAAGTAAAATAATTGATTAACTGAATAAATTAATATTTAATTTAAATTTAAATTTTGAAAGGTAATAATTATAGATCCCCATTTTATGATTATTATTCTTTTTTTTTTTTTTAAATAAATTATTTATCAAATAATGATAAATTAATAAATATAATTATAGATCATTTGCAATGACTCTGATAGTGTGGAAAATTGAAAACTAGTTCAGCAAGAGAGCAGTCTTGATTTATTTATTATATTTTTTGCATTTGAAAATTTCAAAATGAATGCATTCTATGATTTGTTTATTCACATTGGTGTTTTAAATATTTTCAGCGATCTATGAGCTTAAACTTTAGTGGACCATTTGGAATATACATTGTATCAATATGATATTTTAAATCTCCATAATGATATTCAATTTTAAATGATTTAATCATCTGTAAAGATAAAAATGGAAAAAAAATTTTAAGTCAGTCTTTTAGTGATGATGCAGTTCTAATTAAAATGATATGTTACACGATTCAAATACGGATGATAGGAAAAACTTGGTTATATTATTCGCATATAAAAACAACCAATATTTTTTTTTAATAATCATGAATTCCAGTGATTTCTCTTAAAGTGTCGTATTTATGCAAATAATGCAATGGTATGTAGTGATGTAGCAAGATACAAATTAATGTATCCGGCAGTCAATGATTTCTAATATTTTCCAATATTAAAAAAAAAAAAAAAAAAAATTTTTTTACATTAAAATAAAAAAAAATAGTGGAAATAAGATGGTAGCTGCTACGATGGGGAAAATAAAATGGTGCTTTGTTTCGTATTCTGTTTGGTGTAAATGTTGCATAAAAAATGAATGATAGATTTTTTTTTTTTTTTTGTTTTGCTACCTCATAATTACCTTTGCTATTACTGTTTGGATTTCTAGCTCGGCAAATCTTCTTCCCAGACACATTCTTCTTCCGTAGCCAAAAGGCAATGAAGCAAACGGGTGAACTGAATTTTTATCAAATTCACATGGTGCATTGGTATTTTCATTGTTAAAAGACTTGACGAAATCTTGTTTTTCTTCATTTGTCGTATTTTTTAACCACCGCTCTGGTAAAAATTCGGATGATCTTTTAAAATATTTTTCAGAATTGCTAATTGCATAATGTTGAAATACAACTTGGACACCTTCGGGTATCTGATATCCACTGATTACATTGTTTCTTGTCATACATCTTCCATTACCTATGACTACTGGATACATTCTATTAGTAAAAAAAAAAAAGAAATACTAAAATTTAGACTTTGGTTTCTGAAATCCGGCAGAAAAACAAAAAAAAAAAATAAAGAAAGGAACAAAGAAAAACTTTTAAATAATCTCAAAATTAACCTTAAAGTCTCCTTTATAACGGATTTTAGGTAAATCATATTTTCTAATTTCTGAACTGTTAGTTTGTCATTCTCCGAAGGTAACACGGTTTTTACTTCTTTATAAAGATTTTCTTGTACTTTCGGATGTTTGGCCAGCTGATACATGATAGAGGCCACGGCACTTGACGTCTGGAAAAATCAATTTAAATGAATTATGCCAACGGAACTTTATTTTTAATTATATTTAAAAATTTTTTGTTAGGGTAACTTACTGTATCTATTCCTACTAAAAACATGTCTAGCGCTAAAATTGATGCTATCTTTGGGTCATTATTCATTGCGAGGATTCTTTGAAGTAAAGATGCGTTGTTATCAATATTGTTAATATTTTTATCATTCAAATTTTCTATGGCGGCATTTATATGCTTCATAGCTATACTAAATTCAAAAAAAATTAAAAAAGAATAAAAATAACTCTCCTTTATGAACCGTGTTTTTTTTTTTTTAAGAGTAAAGTCTTACTTTGTTATCGTATCTAACGAGTGTATATACTGTTTCCAAGTAGGTGTGTTAAACACCCTCCAAAAAGGTACTTTTAATTCTAGAATTGGAACTTTTTCAAAAAAACTAACAACTGCATTTATCAATATTTGGGTTTCAGGATTCGGAGGTTCGTCCAAACATCCCAGATTCACATCCAAAGCTATTTTAGCCAAAGCTGAAGTCAGGAATATTGTTTAATACCTTATTGTATTATACACTGATTTTATACGATTATTATGACAATCAATGACTTACATTCTAATGACCATTTATGAATTTCATTTAAATAATTAAAAGGTACTTCTGACAAGTTATTTCTAAGCCTTTTACTTTTTTCAACAAAAACATCGGCTGTTTCTTCTATAGTTTTTGCATAGAGCTTAGCTGTTTGAGGTTGGAGCATTGGTTTTTGAACTCTTGTTCGAAAATCATACCAGTCTTTTCCGTGTCTAGAAATTATTAAAAGGTTGTTGTTTTTTTTTTTTTTGACAAAGAAACATATTAAAGGTAGAAACTTAAATGCAAAATAATGAAAAAAAAAAAAAAAAGCTTACACAGCAATAACTCCAGCTGAATTCCCGAAAAAATCTTTCCGAAGAACATGTTTGTAATAATTAAGGGAAGGCATAGATGGCCGATAAGGCATAAGTTCCTCATTTCTAAAAACTTTTTCGATTTCATCAGCATCATAAAGAAAAACCATATCTGGTCGACCCAAAAGCCCTTCTATTTTTACAATGGGCCCATATTTTTTATATAATTTAAGAGTCAATTGATCGATAGAACGAATTTTATAATCACCTATAAAAAAATAAATTACATATCTCCTCGTATCAAAATATAATTCTCGTCTAGTATAAAAGAAAAAGTTCGAACATTTGAAATAAAAATTTTAACTGATTTCAAATTTTTTTACGGGGGGAAATAAGTTGAGAAATGAGAGAAAATAAAAAAAATATATTTATTCACCTATAAATGGTATAAATCTCCAAGTGTTTCCAACAAATGGCAAGGGTTTAGGTCCTGGAATTTCAGAATAAGGTTTTGCTTGCTTCCACGATGAATTATTAATTTCACTTAAATCGCGAGATTTTATAATATTTCGCTTTGTCAGTGATTTCAATTTTTCAATCTTTGACACATTAGACATTTTCAAATATTTTTTCGTGAATGAAACATAAATAAAATTATTCTCCCTGAAAAATTAAATAAGAAAAGAAATAAAATTTCATTGCATATACCATATTGTATTTTTTTTTATTTGCCAAGTTTGTAATTTTATTTGACTCACCTAAGAAACGGGTCCGTCCGAAGTTTAAAATACAATTTAGTATAAACCTAATTATTATTATTATTATTATTTTTTAAATTTCAATTAATAACAATTCATTTTGAACTTTAAAAAAAAAAAAAAAAGAAGAAATAATTTTTTAACTAAGCGTACATACACGGTATTTGACAACACGACTCGTTTTGATCAATGTGAAAGTAAAAAAGAAATTAAAGTGAAAGTACTCTTTTAAAAGAAGAACGTCAAGGTAAACTTGACGTCACGAAGTTCTATGCTAAATAATTAAAATGGTGGCAAAACATCTTTCAAGATGGTTGATAACCGTTAATCGCCATTATTATTATTATTTTTTTTTTTTCTCGGAAAAATAAAAAAAATTTAATTTTATTAAATCGCAAATTTTTTTTTTTTTTTGTTTTTAAATAGTGAAAGCATGAATTTATAAATATATTTATATTAATATTAATTATTATTAATAATAAGTTCTTGTAGGGTA